TCTAATAAAATGAGCAGCAGGCAGACAGTTTCTTGTTTCCTTGAATGTGTTTTTCACCCGTAGCTGGTTAAGGAGGTGACATGTCCTGAGAGCTGGAGCATCATTAATTAGACAGTTGGACTTTGACTAATCGCTCCAGAAAGAGCACACAGCCCTGAAGATGCCAAACACTCATCTCGGCTCATCATCCACAGCCCCAGCGTGCGCCCTTGACCTCTGTGGGTGCGCGAGTGTGTTCAGGGTGTTGCTTCCGTGAGATCCTTGTGATTCATTTCTGGATGATGTGCACACGCCATATAAGCCCTAGTGCACTCTGCTGAATATTTCACATCTCCTTCTAATCAAGTGCCACTGCCAATCATAGTTTATGCAAAGAGAGTAAAAATAGAAGTAAAATAAATCTGCATCTAGTGCTAAATAAATGTTGTCTGATGGGATTCCCAACTGAACTTTTTTCTTTTTCCTGAAACTCTTCCCAGCTGCCAGAATTCTACTCCAATAAAGCTATCTTTAATACAAGGTTAAGGAAAGCGGCTGGTGAAGATAACACAGGAACAGATATTGCTGCAACGCAGAAGATAAATTTCAATTTGCTGTTGGTTTCTGCGTCTCGGCAGGAGATATGAAATTCTTGTCTTGCAGGGCAAGAATTGATTGGAAAATAAAAATGAATGTGTGGTCTAGTGCATCTGTTGTATGTTGGTTTCTGGGCTTAAGGTCTTTTGAAATGGCGATATATCTCTGCAAAAGGAAGTGACACTTGCATTTTTAGGGAGGAGATAAATGCAATACAAGTCTTTCTTAAAATAGCTGCTACTGTATAAATTCAACTCTTTCCCTTGGGGGCCTGTTCTAATGACATGCACAGAATTAATCCCACTTTCTTCCTCTCTCTATTCTTTCCATTACTGTGTTTGTACAGAAGAATGAAAGAGTCAACAAATTTGTGCCGTCCCCCGCCCGTGTGTATGCTCACAACACAGCCCCGAAGAGTCACAACTGGGGAAGAAGACTCTAGGAAAATGGCAGGAAGCTCCCATTGTCCTGTTCCCTGTCATATCCTTTCCGGCTCCTCAAACCACCTCAGAGGAAGACACGCTGAGGATGTGCAGAGACAGACACAAGGAGAGAGTGAAGACAAAAGGAGGATGGGTGGGACGAGGTAAAAATAATAACAAAGAAGCCAAATGTCATCAACAGTTTGCTACCTGGCTACTTGGGCTTCCTGTGTTGAGCCATACCAGTGCACACATCCACTTAAGTTGCTAACAGCTGATAACAAAGCCTCGGGACACACTGCCAAGTTCTTTATCTGTGTTTACCCACATGGCAAAGCTGATTAGAGATGAGCAACATTATGAAGCCCCATTGTTTCCTTTCTCATTCCAGTTTCTCCTTCCGTAAAAATGCTGCAAGTGCGTGTGCAGGAAGGGGAGCTCAGAGGATATGAAGAAGAGCAGAAAGACAATGCCTCGTGTGCATGACGGGTCTTCAGGATGAAAGGAAATAACAGGTCTTTCTTGCAGATTTTGGACATTCATTACTGCCGGCTCGGGTGTGCCTGTGCGTGTGTGTGTTTGCATGACCACATCATTTGTAAAAAAGAAAAACTGGATGCCTTGCTCTAAAACTATTCATCCAGTCCAGTCACCTACAGTAATCTTGACAAAACTCTTAAAATGCACGTGTTGGGATAAAGTTTAAAATATAAAAAAAGCATATGTGAATCTTTCGTTTTGTGTTTAGTTTCTAGAAATTTCAGATACAGCGTTAAAAACGAGCAACATGGACTGAACGTCGAGTTGACCACATGTTATCTATCTTTGCCCTGACTTTGTCTCACAAATTTTGCAAGGCACTTCTGTTCAAGAGTCAGCTGCATTCAGATTCTGCTGTGTCTGCACTTGGTGAACCTCATATCTTACACTCCTCCCTGGCTGGCTACAGTTCTTACCCCCAAACTTTCTGGCACTTAGTCTCTCTTACTTTATCTCCGATCTTTTTTATCACAGAGGAAAAGAAAAGAAAGGCGCATGATACAAGGAGAGGAGGTAAAACGGAGGCAGAAAGAGAGCGCATTGGTTTGTTTGTGTGTGTGTTTGTGCGACAGAGACAAGACTAACAAGACAGGGAAAGGTTAACAATGCTCAGCGGTCTTCTTCTGTGTTTACCCGCTGCTTGTCCGCTTAATCATCAAGACACTGGTGACACATCCAAGTCTTACCCCTCCTTTAAGACTCTCCTTCCATCTTCCACCCCCAACTTTGTCTTCAGTCTGACTCCCCTCCGAAAGAATTCAAAGAGCAGCAAAACAGCAGTTCATAAAATATGCGCAGCTCCCTAAAACAAAACCTCCCAGGCCATGTTGTCACTGCATCCTCAAGCATCGTTGTACTCTATATTTTAAAGACAAATCTGGTAATGGGAAAACCCAGGCTGGTAATGCGGGGAGGAGTGAGCTGGGGCTGCATTTATCACTTTCTCTGCTCGAGTTTATTTCTATGTTTGTGTCTGTATGAGGTATGAATGCGAACAGGCTTTCAACCGTCGGTGAAAGTCTCCCATCTGCCTGCGGCCCATTAAGCAGATACGCTCTCCTGTCCCCGTGTTCCACAGTCACACATTCTGCGACCGGGCAAAAAGTAAAAAATAAAAAAAAATGCTGTGAGAAGAAGGAAGGTGGAAAATTTTCACACTGCCACACTATAGTGAAACATGAGTGGCGACACGACTTAAGAGGAATGGAGAGAAACTTGTAATCTTAGCTCACAGCCTTTGAACTTGGCCCGATGAGACGCAAGCGACCCAAAGCAAAAGGTTCCAAAGAAGAGCTCACTGAAGATTACTCGGAATACTGATTCAGTGTGGAATCCAATTCCTGTGGGAGCCCAGGGGACTATCCGGGAAAGTAAATTATCTGTGTTGTAGTACAGACTACATACTTACAAAATGTATGCAATATGCCATACATAAATTTCAAAGTGAGGCCATGTGTTGGAGCCAAATTTGGATACCACAAAATACATTTATGAGTGCAAAGAATTTTGAGCATCTGTGACTCTTTATAAGACTGACACAATAAATGAGGTCTAGGGTCTCTTAGGTTCTAATTAGGGCAGCTGTTACCATTTTCATTATTTGTGTGCTTGAGTGTGAAAGGGGGGAGAGTGAGTGTGTGCGTGTTGGGGTCCGGAAAATATGCCACTGTCTGGCTACTGCTCCTTCTCATCCAGCTGTTGCTAGTCTATCAGGGAGTGGAGGTTTACTCGTTTCACATTCCTCCCCGGAGCCTTGAATGATGACAAAACCACGCTGAAGGTAAAGATGTATGCACAACACATGGCCATTGGGCACGCTTGGGCTTTTGGTGAAAGTCTGTCTGAGGTGAAAATACAATAAAGCCTAAAGGATTTCAATTTCATTATGCTATCTTTTCTGCCTCCCCACGATCCTCTTCCTCCACTCACCCCGGAAAACATCTGTGTTTAGTGCGAGGTTGTTGTTGTCTATTCTCTTGCATTCAAATTTAATTATTATTTTTCCTCATCCCAAAGTGTTAATACCGCGCTCTAGTTTATCGACGCTGAAAAATGCTGATAAGTCAACAGTTGCTCAGTGTTAATTGCCGAAAGCGTCTTTTCTGCAACAAGAGCAGCACAAAACGAGTCAAATAAATTGTAGCAGCTGTTCAGAAAGCCTGCTTGCTTTTTTTTTGTTTGTTTTTGTTTCGTAATAATTGCATTTAAGTCTAAAAACACATCTGTTTTCGGCATCGTTCTGTTAATTCTATTACAGGATAACTAATAATAAGTTACAACGTTGAAGTGTGGAGGGAAAACAAAAGCTGACAAGTCGCATTTTCAAAACAAGACGTGCATCAAAAACATTCTTTCTCCTCACAATTCCTTCAAAATTAAAGCATTTTGAAATCTCGATACTGGAAGGTCTGGGGCACAATGAGCAGACTTTGTTATAATCACTCATGAACTCTGTTCTGCCAATAAAAAAGCAACAGGGGGTGGTGGTGGTGTTTGTGTAGGAGAGAGAGGGTGGGGGGGGGAGAAACAGGTGCATTATGTCTGCCCGTCTCAAGAAAAACAAATGCTCTCCCTCTCTAGTTTGTGTCTCCCTCATTCTCTGCCCCTTTGCTTTCTCGCTGCCTCCCCCTCTTCCCCGCTCTCACTCTTACCATCTCAAATGCGTGTCCTCGGGAGACCGTGCAGTCCCCGTTGGAAGATACACCGTGTCCGTTTTTGCCCGTTTACGCACCACATGAAAGGAAAAGAAACTTTAGACGCAATCCTGTCAGCTCAGCAGAAACCCCCTCTGGCTTTTGTGTTTTTCCCCCATTCTTTTTCTTTTTGTTTAAGGGAATGCAGCGTGTGCAACACCGACCAACTTCAGGGCAAAAAAAAAAGATGCAGGGAGCTGCAATGAGCTGTCTCATACCCAGCTTTAATTGTTCTGTTATCACCTGCTTAAATGCGCATTCTTGACGAGCCTCGTTAAAAAACAACAACAACAAAAAAGCATCTTATTTAAAAGACACTCGCGTGTGGAGAAACACTGCGGTCAGGCGCAACCGGTCCCCAGATTTAAGAAATCAAATAAGTGAAACTTTCCGTCTGCGCACCCTCGTACAATAATTCGGAGCCTTTCCATTCAAAACAAGAAAGCTCACTTCGCTCAGGCTTCCGATGTTTGAATAAGATCAGGGGGGCAAAAATCACTGCAAATCTCACTTACGCAGTGCCATTTCTCATCAAGGACTGCTCGCAGACAGAGAAACCTCCTGATGTAATCACTCTTTCAGAACTAATTAAACATTTACCGGCAATTAACAGCAGTGAAATGTAGCATTGCAGCAGATCAGATGCCCACACTACTACAGCAGCGCACTGAATGGCTTGACGCAGCGCGCCAGCACGGAGCGCGGTCCATCCTTCCCCGTTAATAAGGACCCGGGTGGTTAAATGATAGCAAACAAAAGAGTATCTTACCTGTGACCATCACGCAAAAGATCAGGTATAACGAAGACATTTTAGTTGCTCTTGCCGCTGATTGTATTCTATGGAAAGAGTCTCGCTCCGTCTATGCGACTGAGCTGGTTATGGTCCACCGCGGCACCGGGCTCGGGATCACCGGAGATTCGTCTACAATAGCATCCAGTTTAAAGAAACGACTCAGAATGGTCCGAGCAGTCAGTAAACTCGCAGTTAGCAATACATCTCCACAGTTGGTAACTTTCCCCTCTGCATCAGCTTCTTTCCCAGTCTCCGTTCCTTGCCACTGTGGCACAGCTCTCGCCTCACTGTGCTCTCCAGCAGTCCATTAGAGAATCGGGCGTTTCAATCAGAAGGTTCATCCAGAGTCCACTTTGTAACCTGCTTCAGCATGCTGCGCGAAAAAAAAGCGATCACTCCTCCTCGACAGTGCGCAGTGATAACCTCGGTGAAGTTACCTCTCGCCCCTCCGCTGGAGTCTCTCACTCTGTTCCCTCTATAACACACTCACTCCCGCTTCTCTCTCTCTCTCATACACACTCTTCCCCGATCGGTCTCCTCGGTTTACTCTCCCTCCTGCCAATTGGAAATGCGCACTGACAGTCATCTGGTGGTGGTACTGGGTAGCCAAATCTGGCAGAAGCTGAGCCTGAGGAGCCCCTTCTTCCTCAGATGCTTGCCGGGGGGGGAGGACCCCCGCCCCTAGGTGACTGGGATTGGCTGAGCAGGCATCACGAGGAGGGCATTTAAAAAACTTATTCACAGTTAAATGACTGCTCTAACAGCTTTGGGTGAAAAAACGCTTGAATAATATGAATCCACAGAATAGGATGCTGGAAAAGCAATGTGCTCCCTGTCCTGTAGGGGAAAATGCAGATTCTTGCTGTTGCCATTAGTTTCTTTTTCCAAATCATACACAGCACAAAAGCACTTGCCCCTTCCTCATTTCAAAGTTTTTGTGTGTTTTTGTTTTGTATATTTGTCACGTTTGAATGTTTCAGATCGTTAAAGAAATTTTTATATTAGACAAAGCGAATCTTAGCAAATTCAAACTGCAGTTTTAACATGATGCTTACATGACATAAGCAAAAGAAATATTAAAACCCACCTGGCTCTGTGTGAAAATGTAATTGCCCCCTAAGCCTAATAACTGGTGCTGCCACACTTGGCAACAAGAACCTCAATCAAGTGTTCGTGTAAGCTGGCAATGAGTTTTTCACACCGCTGTGGAGGAATTTTGGCCCACTCTTCTTTGCAGAATTGTTTTAATTCAGCCCGTTGGAGGATTTTCAAGCATGAACAGCCTGTTTAAGGTCATGCCAAATCATTTCCATTGGATGCAAGTCTGGACTTTGACTAGGCCACTCCAAAACCTTCATTTGTTTTGTTTGAGCCGTTCAAAGGTGAGCTTGCTGGTGTGTTTTGGATCCTTGTCCTGCTCCATAACTCAAGCCTTAGGGTACAAACTGGCCAAACATTCTGCTTCAGGGTTTTCTGGTTTAGAGCAGAATTCATGGTTTCATCAATTATAACAAGTTGTTCAGCAGTCTCTGACCATCACACTACCACCACCATGTTTGACTGTTGGTATGAAATTTATGAAATGCTGTCTTAATTTTATGCCAGATGTAACGGGACTCAAACCTTTCAAAAAGTTCAGTTTTTGTCTCGTCAGTCCACACAATATTTCCCCAAAGGCCTTGTGGATGATCAAGATGTTGTTTTGCAAATGCGAGATGAGTCTTTATGCTCTTTTTGGTCAGCAGTGATTTTCTCCTTGGACTCTCCCATGGATGCCATTTTTGCTCAGTCTCTTTCTTATTGGTGAATCATGAACTCTGAGGCAGATGAGGCCTGCAGTTCTGTAAATGTTGTTCTAGATTCTGTTGTGGCCTTCTTTGAGTAATTTGTGTAGGTTGGTCACTCCTGGGAAGGTTCACCACCATTCCAGGTTTTCTCCATTTATGGATAACGACTCTCACCATCATTCACTGGCCATCATGTGTTGCTTTCTGACATCTTTTGGCCACTTCACCTCGCCAGACAGGATCTATTTATGGGTTTTCTTAATTCAGCAGGTCTAGCAGTAATCGACCCTGGCTGGTGAAAGTGAACTCAACTTTCCAAAAAATGTGGTTAATTACAGTAAATGAATTTAAACTCAAATTTATGTAATTTTTCTTCAAACAATAACTGTATCTTCGTCATTTATTCATTAGCTATGGTAATGCTTTATATGCCACAGACAACATTTCAATGTGAGAAGGAAAATCCAAAGACTGGCTTCATTTTAAATATGCACAAAATCTTCCTTCCTCTCAGTGAAGTTACACAGCAACTCTCCTATTTTGGTCAGACAAGGGCCAAATTTAGCACCCAAATCAATCCCTGCCTTCCATTATGAAACATATTTAGAAGTTAATGAGAATGGGTATGAAGAATCAGTTAAAGATGTTTGGACAATCTGTATAATGATCACTTGACACATAAACCCCAACACAGATGAAATAATAGCGGAAACCATCAGCTGCTGTTTCAGAAGAGTAAACTAGTTTAGTTGATGAGCCTTTTGTCTTTTATGTACTCACTTTCTCCCACACAACTGATGACTTTTACCCCAGCCATGTGTCACTATTATTTCAGTTACAATGATAACTGGATTTTTAGTTAGTCAGGTAGCATAAGTTCATGGAAGTTTTTTCAGTTAGTTATTGTTCAGCGTCATGTAGTGGGCACCAAAGAGAACAGAAGAGAACAGAATCATTATCATATTTCAACAAACGCTAAGGCTAAGGCTTCTATAAAGAGATGAAAACACTGCAGTCTATCACTTGCCTGTGGCTGTTTGTAGGCTTGTTCTTTGATGTTGTTCATTAGTTATTCAAGGATCTATTGATTAACCAAAATAATAGGCCTCGGAGTCATCTGGTTAATCAGTCTTTCACACATGCAAAGAATGAATTTAATGTTAACACATCCACCCTTTAGAGACACACACACATGTGTGAGTGTGCACACACACACACACACACAAATACATGTGCCCTGTTAGCACATCCAGGTGGTTGAAGCACCATAACACTGTGAAAAATTCATCAAAGTGTGCAGACTTGGACACAGAGGACTTCAGCATGTGTTGATGTGTTCCTAAATAAATAAACAAATAAAATAAATAATGAAATAAAAAAGCATCAACAGCAAAAATAAGAATCTCTCTTTTTGACATTTAGCATTGCATTTAATTAAACAGTGAACCACGCGGTGATTAGGGCTCACGCCTCATGAGGGTGCCCCCCCTCCCCAAACAGTAGTTTTAAAACCCTGGGGCTGGCCTTCCTGTTTATTGCCTCCCTGTAATGCAAACATAAGGGTCCCCTGCCAGTAAACACATGTTGATGGAAAAAACAGCTTGCACAGCTGGAAAGCCAACCCAGGTTAGAGTGACTGAGCACATGGGTAAATGAGCAC